TTTCTCTGATGGAAGATTAAATGAAAGGTGAAAGATGGCATGTGAAATTCGCACCCACTCATATGTCTTGGTAAATCTATGCATCTCTAAAAATACTTGAATCTAAATACTGCAGGCTACCAATACCTTCAACATAATGAGATGGGGACGGTGAGAGGATCAGTGGGCCAAGCCTCTGTGCCTGTGATCAGAAGGTTGCTGGTTTTAGCCCCGGCCTCAGCAGAACAGTCTCATGTCTATGGGACCTTGAGCAAGGCCCTTAAAACCCCAGCTCAAAGGGCACCGCATATTGGCTGACCCCTACGGTATGGAGAGAAAAACGGGGTAGGCGAAGAGAAGAATTACAGTGTACCTGGACTCGAACTTGTGCAAATGGCAAATGAAGCATTAAAAAAAAAAAAAAAAAAATGTATAGAGGTGATCGTTAAATTTACTTTCTTTAATATACCTTTATATTTTTAGACTACAAATTAAATCCATGTCCATAAAGGTCCCTAGTAAGTCCCAATACATATTAATTATTTTATAATTATAAATAAATCAAAGTAATAAATCAAAACATATTTTGAGAATGGATGAGTAAATGCTGTTTAGAAAACTGACCGCTAGATGGCAGTTTTGAGTATAATTTAATCCACACCATATATTAAAATGTTGACTTAGTCCACCTCATTCATCAAACAGATATAAATAATATGATGTTCTCTTAGTCTCTAATCTTTTCAGTAGGTTGTCAATCTGTCAGATGCTGCACCTGCTATATTTTAAGTGACATCAATTAATTGCATCCAGTGTTGTGTATACATTGTAGGGCAAGCTGCAGACACTGTAATGCCAACAAGGCTGTGCTTAGAAGATGGATGGATGGATGGATGGATGGATGCAAGCATGCATTACATAGAATATGCTTTTATATGCAATTGTCAGCTGATATAATGCATATTCCCTCTGATTTACAGCTCTCTAAGGGGATACTTAGTAGTTCAGACTCCACTACTATTTACAGACCTGCTGCAGAGATTAGCTAATTGGGTAGAATAAAAACACAAGAAAGAACAAAATAGCACAACAAGAGCAACACTGTGGACTTGCATATTGTTAAAAAGTATTTTTATTATGACATTAGGGGGCAGTGTGAGGCTGTGAGCAATAAGTCACTGGTTCAAACCCAATCTCAGCACATCTGTGGGTCCTTGAGCAAAGCCCATCACCCCCAGGTCCTGGGTGGCTGCCCTTCTCGGCCAGCTTGCCCCCCAACAGAGAGCAAGTTGGGGCGGCGTAAAGAGAATTTCTCCACAGGGATCAATAAAGTATCAGTTAATATTTTGTGGGAATCTCCAAGACCAAACATGAACCTTCTGTAAAGACTATGTCTGTTACTGTCTTGATATATTACTACATTTTCTAAAACAAAGTATTCACATGAAATCTGGAGAAATGATGAGAACCACACCAAGGTCTTACTATGAAGTGCTGTTAATATACTGTGATTGATATGGCAATGAAGTTGAAAAAGTACACTTCAGTAATGAAACGTGAAGATAGTTAGCTGTTTTTTTCTTTTCCTAAACCTCAGAATCACTTTGCAGAGTGAATTATTTACTCATGCTGACCAGAAATACCATTTAATATATATTTACCCTTCACTAGCAAGTCCCAAAGACTCCTTGCCTGGCTGTCAGCTGTACACATGCATACCACATCATCGTCATACATCAGACAACCTCCCAAATCACTTAACTCATTTGCTGACAGCAGGACTTGCCGTGCTGATGCTCAGGTACATGGGAACAAAATATTTCATTATGAAATGTGGTCATTGAGATTGTTAGCTTTCGCAGAACGATTGTTAATGGATTCAGTATTAATTACAGAACCTAGTGACCAAAAGATTGAATGAAGACTATTTGATGCACTTTCATTATGAGAAATAGTGTTTCTGCAACGTGACTAATTTTGATGAGTAGATTTGGCATTTTTTGGAATGAAATGCTAAAATGTAAAAGATGGTGGCAATAAATATTTTCAATGATATTGCACTTCATTTTAACAAATTTTTATCGCTTCACACCTCTAGAGTTGTGGGCTTGATTCTTTGTCCTGCTGTGTGTGGAGTTACTGGCCGGGTACTACAGTGTCCTCCCACAGCCCATGGATGTGTGGGTTTGGTGGACACTCTGTTGATCCTGTCCATGGTGTGTTCTGCCCCGTGCGTCCCGCAACAGGCTTCTTTCTCTCTGTGAGCTCTACACTGAATAACCAGTAAGGAAAAATGTATATAAAAGGCAGCTGTGATTACAGTTAAAACACGTCTACGAACTGCAAAACCCTTGCCTATTAAATTTTCAGACAGTTTGAGGACAATGAAATTTGACAAGCATCTTAAATGATGTCTCTTTAATAATAAATAACCACCTGCTTTTTCAAAGTGGTCATTAAAAATGAAACAACAACACAACAGCCTCGCCACGCCGTGGGATAATCGGCGTTCGCAGACGTACGGGGAGCGTAAGTACGTCGAATACGTCACGTCGGTACTTCCGTGTTTACACGCCTACGAAAAGGGGGAGGAGATAGCGAGCGCGAGCGGCGTACGTTGAACCGAGCGAGGGACGGAGCGCTGGTGGAAAGGAGAAGAAAAAAAGTGACATACGGAGGACTGCATGGTGAAAAGGACTAGAGCCCACCTTTAACAATAGCCTTATACAGCGGAATGTTTTCTCGAAGGAATCATGGAGATGTCAAGAAATCTACACAGAAAGTTCTGGACCCAAAGAAGGATGTTCTGACCCGTCTCAAGCACCTACGGTCACTACTGGGTGAGTGAAGTGACACCACCGGTCCGGACGGGTACCGGGCAATGATAGAGAAACGACGCGTGCCGAGCGGTGTCGCGCTACGTACGGTTCGGGCTCCGCACGCGCGTAACGTCGAGGGTCGCTTAGCTTAGCTAGCAGGTAGGCGACGTCAAGTCGTGCATCCAGGTATGGCTGACGAGTAACGACAGGGGCAGCGAGTCATACTGCCGTGACTAGCCAGCTAATCTGCGGGATGCTAAACACAGGACCGGACATGACGGCTCGGTTCCGACTGAGGCACCCGCGCCGCTTGTCATTAGCCGGTTCTGGTCGATCCATGGAGGGGCGAAAGCCCACTTGCCCCGAGGCTGCGCGCCTGTCGCGGCCCCCGGAGGCTTCTCTCTGGGTTAAAATCCGTTCCATGCGAAGACCTGCTCCCCCGGAGTAGCAAGAAGGGACCCACTGAGGGCTGGCGAGCCGCCTGCCGTCTGCCTGGATGGCTACCCGCTCCGTTTACGGGAAGCTCTGGCCTCCAAGATGAGAGCACGGCACATAAGAGCAAGCGATATTGCTCTTCCAAAGTGATTTATTTCAGTTAGATTAAAACGGAGGGACAATAGCTTTGCCTTTGAACTCCATCCCTGCAGAGCCCCCTGTAGATCGACACCAACCCGCCGGAGCTTGATGCGGCCATTCAATGCGGGGTACGCAGCGCTTGATGGTCTGGGACGTGCTGGATTGTGCTGCAGATCATCTACCGCTCTTCTTTGCGTGAACCCGTTTCGGCCTGATAACAAAGGGAGAGCACAATAGACAGCAACGACTAGGCTGCTTCGTCGAGGATTTTAACTGGATAGTCAGCTAAGAAATGCTCCGTGACCGGGGAGCGGTTGTGTTGTGATGTATTGGCTTCAGCTGCGTTGTCTGATCTGGGATATAGTCATTAGAACTTAAAGCATGTTTATGCTAGACACTGGAAAGAAATGGAGAAAGCAATTGCTTGATAATAAAAGAAGAGTGCTGATGCAGAGCGAAGGCGCTTTGTTTGTGTACCGTCTTGGCGAGGTTTTCGGATACTCAGTGGGCGAACTGAATACCTTATTTATTGTGGAAACGGAGATGCCTGTCTGAGGGGTTGATTTCAGACAAACTTGATTTCTAAGTAAATTATTTGATTGCTGATAACGGGATTAGTTTTTATCAGTGAGAATTCTCTCATCTGCCTGGTGGGCTGAAATTGTACGACCATATTTTATCTGAAACTTAAATTTTCTGTACCCTCGGCTTCTTAGCATTTGGGGAAACCTCGAAATACCTCGGTTTGGCCGAGTCTGTTGTCATACGGTTGATGAACTGACCCTCGTGTTGTCTATGTGAATTCCCCCATCTCCGTGGTTGATACCCAAGACCATTATTGTTTGCTTTGGTGTGTTTTTAACCCCTTGTGTCAGTACTGCATATCACTAGAATGTGTGCCTCTGGGGAGTTGGTGTGGGTTGCATGCTTTTGGCTGTAAGCTCGTCGTGGCATTGGGTGCCTCATGTCTCAGCCATGCCGTTCTTACTTCCGTAGCTAGACCATTTCTTACCAGGCTAAATTGGGCCTGGTTCCCAGTCAGTTGGCTTGGGACGACAGAGCAAGTGTGAAGGTGTCACCTGAGGTCACGATGGTCCATTAAGCTCTCTGTGGGATGTGCCTGTTAGGCCCTGTGGCCTTGATCCACAAAGCGGCATTTATGCCGCGCAGCTTGATCCAGCTCCTGGTTAAAAATATGAGGTAAAGTTTATGTGCCTGCTGTACAATGATTCCACTGCCTCTGCAGCAAGAATTACATGACATTACCTGTTACAGCATCAACAGAGATCCTGACCAGCACTGTGGCTCGCTTTACTTTTCTGGGACTTTCCCCCGCATGTTTATCATAGCGTAAGTAATTTTACATACTGCTGGCTCTGTGGCACTGCGTTTTTGCCAGAAAGAGGATTTCCTCTCACCAGCTGGTTCCTGCAGGAACTGAATCTCAGGGTGTGTGATGGGGAGCCGTTAGCAAACGGACCTTTCTGTGTTCCTTGTCTGCCAACTAGCCTTCCATATTGTCAGTGTACTGTTGTGGATGATGGGTCAGTGTGTCACACATATGCTATTAAGGGCGAAAAATAAAATCAAACAGATTTGAATCCCAAAACTGTAAAATTTCATTTAGCTGAAATCAGAGGTACCAAACCCTGCTGTTTGAGTTACCATTCGTTTCAGTATCAGCTATAGCTTGATGATGAGGTAGTATTAATAACTGTGTGCTTTGGAGAGAAAATATTTTGCCTGCCTTTAAACATCTTCCTGCTTCCTGTAGGGAAACTAAACTTTGGCAGTGGATGTTCTGCCCGACTAAGGTATTTGATCACTGTACCAGAACAGTGTCCTGTCCTTGCACCTTGGCACAGATGCATACTATTTCGGTCTACATTTTAGCATTGACCGGCTGTAGTGGGGTGAGTGTGGACATGTGGACGAAGCATAGGGATTCTTGCACTGGTATCCGAATTTGAGTTTGAGGTATCTTGTTGTTGTAAGAATTTAAAAGATCAAGACTTTCCTCCTGGGATCAGTAAAATTAATCTAAACTAATAACGAATTACATGAAAAATTATAGTTGGGTTTATTCAGCTTGACATTTTAGTTGAGTTATGTATATCCAGGTCCTTATTCAGAATTGGATTGGCAGTTTTGAGGTTACCGTGTAACTACGTATGTAACCACTGTTCCTTCCTGCGGCCAAAAGTGTTACAAGTTTGAAATGCAATTTGAAGGCATCGCTGGGATCTCCACAGCAGGTTGTTTTTATTTTGGTGATTTATTGACCTGAAGGTGCCACAGCTGGTTAAGCTAAGGTGGCTAATAATGAATCGGAGACCAGTGAGTGACACACTTGGTCAAAGTTACTCTTTAAAATGTATTCAGGTCTCATAAAATGCTTAGATTCGACATGCTGGCATTTCATTCCAGGTCCAGTAATTCTTTGCATGCCCCCAAGGTTATTCAAAGTTTCCTGCAGTTCTTTCCTTTATGTTCTGCAATAGTTTTCATAGTGAGTTTGCTGTACAAGGATTTGTCAGATGGTCCTTCTTGACTGTCTCATGCCCAACATATCAAGTTCAGCCCATTTCCTAGGCTGCACAATGTCCTCTTCCTCAAATACAGGATGAACTACCTTGGGGGGAAAAAATGGAATTTGCCAAACCAGCAGACTCCATGGTAATCTTTACACTAGGCTGAACTGAAAGTCAGATTAGTTATACATTAGTGATGTCGGCCACGACAAGTGTGTTTATGTGTTCTGGTTGTAACGTGGTCTTGGCAGTCAGCCTCTGCCTCTTGCATATACTTCATGAGTCATGTGCTGCCCGCAATTTGAGAGACAGCTCTCTGCCCTTAAAATGCCCTTCTGTGTAGCCTTCATCGGTTCTCCCTACTAAATTCCTATAGCAGATCAATTGAGAGTGCATTCATAGACTGTCCAGTTCTCTGAATTGAGTTCAAACAAGTCACCTGAGCCAGAAAAGCAAAGAAAATACTGAGAGGCTATTGTAGGTAAATGCGCACTTATGTTGTGCTGGTGATGGCGAGTTGTGTATTGTGTGGAGGCTGTTGTACCTCTTCACTGTTGGAATGAATGAGGGCAGGAGGATGAGGGTCTGCAGAGTAGCTGGCCTTTTTAAGTGGAGATTATGCAGCGTTGGGTAGGAAGATAAAGACCCAGCCATGGCCTTTGTGAACTGAAGAATGTCATTTTCTGAAGCTTTGCTTGGACCTCTTGGTTCTTACTTAGTCCCTTTTCAAGAACAGTGTTTAAATTCTGCATATTTCACACCCTCCCCAACAATAGAAATTATTCAGAAAGGGTAGTGGTGCTCTTTTGCCTGGTTTTTCAGTGGTTTTCATTGGGAAACCAAAAAACTTTCATTTAAAAAATTTGATTATGAGAATAGTCTTCATTTGTTACATTTTGGCACTATATGCATGTTAGGAATATTGAGAATGCTACCAGTGTGTAGTGCTCTCCCTTTTCTAATTTAATCTCTCTGGTGTGTTTCTCTTTTTTTTCGTAAGTTGGCACTACAAGCATACATTGAGATATGACTGTTGACTCTTCAAGTTTGGTTGATGGGCTGTTATTGTGAAGTCAGGACTATAGATTACAAAAATAATCACAAGCACCGTGTTTGCATTTTGTATCAGGAGGGGAATCCAGCTGCTGCAGTGAATGTCTGTGTCTTTTAATCATTTACTTAACTCCATGCTAAACTCCTGCTGCTGTTTAGCATTGATGGGATTTGGTGCTGTTACCCCTCCCTTTTCCTGCATTTTGTCCCTTTTCTTTGTTTTAAGTTAATGACTAGCATTTTTCATCAAAACACTGTTCTGGAACCATCAGCTGAATCTTGTATATCTTTTGAAATGCTTCCATTTTGATTGTGGCTGTGTTTGATTGTGCCAAATGGAGTGAATTACTTGTTTAAGAATGACTTTGTCTGCACTGCTATTGCTTTGACCACTAAGCAGTCTCTGAAATCATCCAACCATGAATCGCACAGTAATTGCTCTACCTGTCTTATTAACCATAATTTGCGTGAGTGTGCAGCTCAGGGGCTATTTATTTAGCAGAAAATATTTCTGGTGAAAGCCTCAGCATGCTTTGTACTTGAACAGATTGTAACAGATGAACAGCAATATATATATAAATAAATAAACGGTGACAATATTGATAACTTATGGCTTTGTTTATGGTGATTGGTTTTTGAAATATAACAGCGTGTCTGTGTTTCTACTAAAAGACTAAATCACTAAGTTCTTTATTTTGGTATTGGGGTTGATTTGTATGTACATATATGTATTTGCAGTTGTTTGTAGTGTTAAATTGGGTCTGATTTGCATTTGTGTTTCTTTTATTTGCTTGTAAATAATGGGGTACCACAAAAACGATAAATGATAAACCTGTAGTACACAGTTATCGCCTCCGGAAT